TCACATGTGCGAGGTGAATGGACAGTATCATTCCCCTCCATCCGCACAGAACTGCATGTGAACAGGCTGAAGGGTACTGATACCCAATGCCGACTCCATGGTCCGCCTCGCCCTGCCGCGCGGCTCACCACACGCCTGAACATAGCCAGACGCGCTACTTGTCTGCGTTCATTTATGGTTGCTCACCACAGCTGCGAGACCTCAGTAGCTGCGCAAGTGTTGCACCTTGACGGTAGCGTTGGCGTAGTATGGAGCCGCTGCTACCCTCCAGTCCCTCCCGTGCACTTTTGACCCGAGGAAGTGGCACTATTGCAGCCGCGGACCCATATACCACGCATCAGCATGGAGTGTCCTCGAGAGTGTTCAGCTTATCTTTAATGGTGGCGTTACATGTTGGGATATGACGTCATCGCATGAGATCTCATTACGAGTCAAGGACATCTTACGACTCTCACCCTTCCTATGGATGCAGCACCCAGTATCTAACATTTTTTTTATTTCATTTAGATGCCTTGTGATGAGCAATCGGGATTTACGTGAACACAACAGAATTTTACGTGCCCAGCTGGAGAAAGGCTGAGGATCTTGTTTCTCCCTTATGTATCTGTGTTACTCTGTTGACGAATGATTGCGTTCGTTTTAATCATAATTAGGTGACACTTGAATTACTAACATTTCATTGTGCATTACAGATTTGTTATTGTTGTCATTGCGAGACGTTGTTATGTTGTTGTGGCTATTGTACTATGTTGTTTGAATGTTTTACCTCGCAACAACGGAGTAAAGCTTTTCTTTCATAGTTCTTTGTGATCTTTTTGGTTTAACGAACCAGTACCACAAATATGCCTTCTGTTTCATTACATTTATGTATATGTCAGTCATTTGCAATACTTGTTCTACCTCATGTGATGTTCTCCATCTCCGTTCTCTTCCATAATGGCTATTCACTATCGGTCGAACTCTGGTAGTCACACGTTGTCAGACTTCCTTCCTTTCCGTAAGAGCACTTCCCACTCAGAGAGGCGATCATACTTAGCGTCGGCGTTGGCAACTCACAGCAGGGTTTCTGGCGACTAAGAATGGTTGTTTTAGAGAGAGTGAGGAAGTGGGAGGATAGTGGACTACGTCAGATCTATACCCATATTTCTCGGTCCATCAAGCCGTTGGAGTACGCTCAAACCCGTACGCATGGCCTCTCAAAACAACAAGATCGATCCTAGTACTGGCCGTAGTCACCCACAACGAGGTCCGCTGTTGCTCGAAAGCGATTAACCTCACGCTCGTGACGCTGGCCGGCAATGTATGAACGCAACGTTCTGACGCTTGCCCAGGGAATGCGTTGATACGTGTGGAATAGCCTAGTCATATCCTTGGTGTCGTAAGGAACCGTAGTTGGCATTCTGTTGTTAACGTGTGTTATTTAGGCAGAAGGTGCGTCGTTCATTAAAACTCGTACGTTGCCGGATAGCCTGATGCATGCATTTCGTAGTGTGAAAGCGTGTGTTATTTAGTAGGAGGTGGCGTCGTTCTTAATCGTACGTTCCGGGGATAACTCATGGTGCATTCCCGAGAAGCATTTCGATTACGGATGCACTGTCTTTTATCTTTCCACCTGTTTAACGTTCGCATTTCACTTCTGTATCTCCGGCCACATCGGCTACTGCCCTTGAGTAGGCTTTGATTAGTCTCATCATAAAATCCGCTCTTCGTCTCTACGCATCTAACGCCTCTACCAGCACCTTCCAAGTTCGCTCGGGTCACCAGAAATCGGACGGGAGGCTGCGGTTCAACAGCGGACGTTCTAGTGAAAATTTTCTGCCATGCGCGTAATCTGAACGGTATTAAACTTGATGTAAATCAAAATGTAACTTGAACATTTATAGTCCCTACAAGCTATTTTCGGAGCTAAACACACCTTCAATAATCACTTCTGGAAATGTTGTGCATGACATGAAAGGTTAACGCTCTTGACGTTGACCACATCCTTATTGCGATGCACCATGCACCCCGATTCCGCTTAGAGTCGTCATGACGTTTTCAATGCGAATTGACCCCTGCAATTGACTTCTGGGGAAGACGTCACGTTTCCGTGTTATTGTCATTTCGGGTTGTCTGACGTCGATCTGAAACAATCTGCATACTCACTTCCATGGCTCCTGGTCTTGCCATGTGTGAGATGGCTGGATCGACAGTTAAAGTAGCATGCCACTTTCTCCTGTTAGAAGTGCACGGGAAGTAGGCTGGAGTGTGAGGATACCCGAGTGCCGTTTCCAGACTCCATCCGCGCCGCCACACGGCAAACCACACGCCTAACCGGGAGACGTCCAACAGAATCGTCCGGGGCAGCGCCCGCGGCGCGTCGCGCGGCGAATGACTCGCAGCTCACGTACAGTCCTCTTCATTGCAGACCGGTGGGGCGGGTGAGCCGCGTCACGCGCAGCGCGGCTCAGCCGCCCCACCGGTCTGCAATGAAACAAGATTATAAAGGTTGTCAGGCGGTGTACAGTACCCCGAAAATTGCGCGTGAAGTTAAAAATGTCGCGTCGTGAACGCACACAATCGGGCGCACCGTAATCGGTTTAGTTACCCTCCCCGGCAACCTGCCCCGTGGCCAGGCTACAGTACTCCACGCCTAAAATAAATGGTCCGCTCAGAGCCAGGCCCCGTTGTGTGCACCCACGGACAACACAATTAATCCCACGCGCAATTTTCGGGGGTACTGATAATTGAATTGCAATGAAGAGGACTGTACGTGCATTTGCTAGCCAAAGCTTTGCAACTGGAGCAAATGATTTACTACAGCGTACATCCGCAACATTTAACTCAGGAAATAAACAGATACAAAAGAAAATCAGATAACGGCCGTGATTTCTCCTATGTTTATGTGGTTAAAATGGTCTTGTATTTGCGTCACATATACATGGTACGAATGGCCAGTTTTTGTCAGTCTGCCGTTAAAAGATGACAAACCAGAGCAAATGTTAAAGACCCCCAATGAATTTCGTGCTGTATTGAACTTTTTCATATTCTGACTGAAAACTTAACCGTAACTGAACTTCAATAACCCTATTCAAACCGCCAGAAGCACGCTTCGTCTTCTCGCCGCAACTATGTCGCAGGCCACGCCCACCAGCTGCCCGGACGATTCTGTTGCTACATACCCCGCCTAACCATAGCCAGTTGCGCCACTTGTCTGCACCCTCTCACTTCTGGTTGTTCCCTACAGCTAAAAGCGTGTTTCTGTGCGGGTCTTGGTATTGAAGTAAGTGCTGCACATTGGTGACAGGTGTGAGGACTATGGAGACGGTATCGGCTGTCACTGCTCTCCAGCCCCGATACGGTGATTCACTTTTAACTGACCCCAGCCCTGCCAATAACTTTTGTTTTTTTTGGAAATCATTTTTTAAAGGAAACCTAGTTGTATAACTGATATTGAGAAGGAGGTGTTATTCGTCTATCGCTGGGGGGGGGGGTAATAGCTCTCTGAGGCCTCATCTATAGAAATAAATGGACGTTTCGAGCACTTATGTAAGAACCACCATGGTACCGGAGTCGCTTTGACGGCAGCCAGTGTCACTTGTCTTTTCCGAGAAATTTGTCAAAAACAGCTTTATTTTTCTCCTACTGAATTTTTTTGTGCATAACCACTCCAATCTTTTGACATGGGTGGGATAATGTTTTTAGTAGTAGGATGTTGCTGTGCCACTATAGTAATACCCTTGCGGAGGCTGAAAATAAACAGCAACTTCGTGACAACATTTGAACCAGTAAATGAAATCACAGTGAGAGTAATTTTTTGGTGACGAGGGTTGCAACGGTTGAACACTGCTCGTTATATGGATAAAATTACGGTGTCGATGCTGATTCATTTACTTTCGAATTTCACCCCTCTTCAGGTCAGCTCGGTTGCGGTTGGAGAAAAACTGAGTTCGAAATGTCAGTTCTCTGCAAACCTCCGTTAAAAAAGAGGAAGAAGCTCCGGAAACTGGAGGAGGCACAGCAAGGTTGGCGTCGACGTTAACTTCGTAGCCTGGCGATGAAGAGGACATGGTTTCATTTGAAAGTAGCGGCTACGCTTTTAGTGAGATATTGCCGTTTTGAGACAATCGTAAGGCTGCGTTAATACTTTACGACGGCCCACCAACAACCAGCGTCCACCAATGTTCCGAGCGTCCGGCAGCATCAGCGACTAGGAAAGTGTAGAAATTAGCTGGCGTCTGCCAGCGACCATCATCGACCGGCTGTGAATCGTATGCTCGGGAAGTATACGTGTTCTGGCGACCAGCAGCGTCTACCAGCGACCAGCAAGGATGATAGGAGGGTAGCAGACAGCTGGTACACTTCCGTCGCCGCATACGCTCTACCAGCAGCCTGCTACCATCCTATCTCCCTGTACTCTACCAGCTATCTGCTACCTCCTTAAACTCCGCACTCTTCACTCCCAAACGCTGCTGGTCGCTGGTGGACGCTGGTAGACACCGCTGGTCGCTAGGTCGATATCTATGCTTCCCTAGGCCTCCAGACGCTGGTGGTCGCTGGTAGACGCTAGATCGATATCTATACTTTCCTAGTCGCTGACGCTACCGGACGCTCGGAACGCTAGTGGTCGCTGGTGGACGCTGTCGCAATGTATGAACACAGCCTAAACATGTTTTTATCCATCACAAGACAGGATGACGGTTGTCCTAAATGGAAATATCCCACAGAGAACGACTACAGTTTTGCACAGAATACTACATCATGTTCAAATGAATGTAGCAGCCAAGCCCTTCCCATGTCCGGAATGCGGTGTCAGCTCCAAGGCAGTCTTCAACGAATAATATGGACAAATAGCACTTTCTTTCAGTAGAAGGATGTGAACCGATTGCGAAGAAGACTAGAATTCCTGGCAAGTCGTCCAAATCGGGTATCTTCCCTAGAGAACACATTGGCAGTCCATTCTGCGATAGTCGAGTCTACATACCGACCGTTAAAGATTTTATGGCTAATGCAGAAGAAGGATCAATGCTAGATGAGGTCTTATAATGTCTTTCTAACGTTTGATTCGTTTACTGTTTGTACTACACTATTCAAGGTGTCACTGCTACCTCTTGAAGACCTCGCGAGTCTGGTATGTGGAAGTACTGTGTACTCTTTGATTAAGAACACAACGATTGGAATTGATCTAACGAAATGCTGCCAAGAGTTGCAAGAGAGGCATACTCTGCTGGACTTGGCGTAAGTTTTACCTTGCCTTGATTACCTTAAGCCAACTTGTCCTCCCAAACTTCGCCATTGGCGTAGCGTTGTTGCAATCCTGTGCGTGTCTTTTTCACTACTGGCGGAACATATTCAGTGAAGGGTCGGCCGATCTCATTTTGAGCCTTTTCTTCGGTCGTCTGATCCAGTGGGATCGAGCTCGTTAACCGAGCGATCAACCGATTGTCTCCAATGGCGCAATACGACTAATTCATTCTCGTTTTCTTTTGTACAGTTCATTATTCATCATCATCATCCATCCTACTTGGACATCAAACTTGCCCTCGAAATATGTTCAAAGGACCTTTCACAAATTCTGCTTTCCATTGAACTTTGCTCTCCAGCAACCTTCTCTTCATCAGCCTTAGTGGTCGACCAATATTCTGCGCCGTCTAACAGCGCGGGTGTCACGATTGAGTGGAATATAGTGACATCCTTAGAGTCATCGGCAAGTTTCATCCCGCTCCGTAAAGCGATGCTAAGAATGTCTTTGCATTCCGGCTGTGTTGTCTTCAAAGAACCCATAGTAGTGAGGTCCAGGTCTTTTCAAACCAGCCATTACGATAGACATATAGTCGTGTTTCGCTGCAGACCTTGAGACGTGTCAGAGGGTTGGATTTGGCGCAGCGTCAGCCCTCTTTCCACCACCAATCGTTATCGCTTACCCGCTTCAACAATTGGTGGAGAACGGGATGGCGATGCTCCAAAGGAGAACGGGATGGCGATGCTCCAAACCCAGCCCACCTGACATGCTCCAGAACCTACAGAGAAGGCGACTCTATTTCGGGTCGCTGGATAAGGTGCTCGGCGCCAGAATACTTTCCTGGGAAATCTAGAGTTCTCTTCGAGATTACCAAGTTTTCATAGCCAAGTCACGATATCTCAGTCGTCACAACGCGCTCAATGTACAGCCCTGTTGGCAGCGGACGTTTGGGACGTGTCAGGGGAGGCTGGGTTCGGCTCGGCGCCGGCACGTCTTCCAGTTGTTGTCACTTTCCCTTTCCAGCAACTGGAAGAGAAGAGACTGACGTCGCGTCAAATCCGGCCATTCTGACAAGCTCCAGCAGCCGTAGTGATCAAGACTGTGACGACTATTCGCTTTGATCCAGTGTAGCGTTGCCTTTCTGAATCAGCTCAGTCCTGGTGCGAATGTCGCGTACGGGAGTTCCTGATCCCAGCTGCAAATCTGCTTTCGTTGCGCTACCGCAAGTAAGATTTCCTTACCTGCATCCCATCAGAGCTTGCACTTTGCAATAGCACTAATTAAAGGCATTTATGTGCATACGCTAATGAGACGCTACAACGTATGAAATCAGGTCATAGGAATTTGCAGGGCAATCGCGAGAAAGGATTCGGTCAGGAAACGAACACTCAGGCTTCTTCGTCATGAAGGATGCAGGTGAGCTCTACTTTCCGAAGTTTAATAGCGAAGATGAAGGAGTGAGAACTGTGTTGAAGGCTGAATTTTTCAAGTCACGGAGTTCAAGCCAGGGGACCCCCAAAGCCTGAGTACATAACTGAAATTGCCATACAGTAGATGAGGTTTTAGCCTAATCTCAGAAGTCCCAGGCCACGGACTCATTACTTCCCATGGCTAGGTCGGCCAAGTTCCAACAGCACCCTTGATTACAATAAACTTCTTGCCTGAACGCATGGGTGAGACCTTCTTATGTCAGTTTGGATGAGCGCTAGTTCGCGTATGAGAACAACATGCAGCACGCCTAGTGGCTGCTCCACGGTAAAGACTCACCAGAAAGCCTGAGATCCGCATCAATGATCATGCCCCAGTGTTCTACTTTTCTTGGTAAAACATACGTTTCAGGGAGTTGGTTCACCTGCAAGCAGGTCAGGGGAGATAGGGCTGAGGCAGAAGATCGTGGAACACTTTTAGAAGCTGCGTGCAGCAACGCGGAATAAGCGTCTCTTACGACTCAGCGTTCCACCTTCCAAATCGCCACTTTCTAAAAGGACGAGGCTGGAACAAAGCAGCAAGTTCACATACAGGGGGGGGGGGGGGCAAAAAAAGTCACTTCGACCGAGTCACATATCAGCAAAGTTTTCGCAGCCCAGACAGAGGACGTGGATACGAGTACCAGGCGGAAGATACCCAAGATGTTCCTCGATAAGCAGGAGCTGGCTCTCGCCCATCACTTCATGTACACCAAAATATGAAGTCATCTCCAATCGCAGCCTGACTGGAAAAGGCCTCTGGAATTCACGTCACCTCCAAACAGCTGCGAAACTTCTTGAATGGAGTCACCCATGGATAGCTACCTGGAGACCAGTACTCTTGATCTGCAAGACCTCCAACATCGAGCAGCTCCGACAACGTCGCTACGGTCCAGGATATCATCTTCACCGCAGTCGCCAAGGCGCGAGTTGGTGGTATGGACCGGAAGTTCCTGGAATGTGAAGACCGATATTTTCTTCGTGGACCCCGGACTGAAAGTGAGCGCTGACGGTTACATCGACCAACTCGTGAAGAATATCCTGCCTTCATGTCATCGCCTGTACCTTCTTGGAGACTTCGTACTGCTACAGGATTGGGTGCCTCCACACGGAATCGAAGGGCGTTGGAAAAACTCTCGCCTACTTGGAATGGAAGGGCGTTGAGTACCTGAAGAAGATGGAATATCCAAGTGTGTCACCTGACCTAAACCCCTCAATTACCCGGTTCGGGCGGAGCTCAACAGGGTGGTCTACAGTGGCGGAGAAATCAACGATCTCGCTGAACTCAGGCACCCACTCACGGTCGGCAGAATCTCTCGATGGCGCTCGTCCAGAAGGCTGTGGCGGAGCATCATGATAGTATACAATATGCTGTTGAATATGGTGGTGGAAATGTCCCATCAGAATTTAATTAAGTGTAACTTATAGCGCCCTGAAAGTCAAGGAAGAAAAGTGACTTTTTTGCCCCCCCCCCCCACTTGTATAGCGCCAGCATTTCTTCCAGAATTTTCCGCTCCGCGTGCATGCAAGCGGATAGTTTTGAAAAGGAGTGAGTGAAGGTGCCAGTCGAAAAAATTGACGAGCCCCTTCTGAGATTTCAGTCAATTTTTTCCTCTATTGGGAAAAAATTGACTGAAATCTCAGAAGGGGCTCGTCAATTTTTTCGACTGGCACCTTCACTCACTCCTTTTCAAAACTATCCAGTCATGGCATAGCAAGAGGAAGAACACCACCAATCCTATTTGTATTTATACCATTGACCGGGTATTACCGAGAAGAGAAAAAAAATGGATAAACAAAAGTGACGAAAACCGAACAAATTATGGGATGACCTACCAGGTATTGCCCTTTATAGACAGTGTTCACTTGGAATTTCTAGTAGAGGTGCTAAGTAGGTACAATCCTCTTCCCTGTCTTGTGTCGGGACGTTGGCTTTGGCGAAGCACGGCCACTCTTCTACCAGATGTGGTCGCCTGCCAGCATTCACCATTGGTGGAGAAGAGGCTGGTGCTACGCCAAACCCAGCCCACTCCTCCCCCTGATACGCCCCGGCCCCCGCAGCGAGCAAAACTGCGGTGTTGTACTAAGAAACTGCAATTCAAAGGATCAACAGAATGTACCGACAGCAGTGTGCTACTAAAAATTACATTTCAAGAGATCAGTGGAGCTGTTTTTAGATATTTAGAACAAACTGTCTGTTTACCTTCCAGTGATGAGTTCCTTACACCATCAGCTATAAGTGCTTATATGAAGCTTATGTTGCGCTCCGTCATCACAACGTCTTCATGGAAATTGAATTTCGTCAGCTTTTCTTCCAATACGCTAAAATTCCATTATTCAATACTAGTTGTATTCAGGATGAATTCTGTAATCGCCTATCCCAACGCATTGTACTGGCTCGCCCTGGTGCGCAACTGTTTGACTCGTCTTTTTACAGTTACAAGATTTATCAGTTAGGTGCGTGATATTACGGAACTTTGCGTAATTTTTCAATTGCTATGGGGAGCAGGTAGCGGTGAGTGACCCGCTTTACACCGATCACGTCGTGGGATGGAGTCCTAGACTGATCTTTCGCGTACGCCAAGTTGAAGCCTCTCCACTCAGGGGACGTGAGCGGCCCAGAAATCGTGCTGGGCAAGAGAAATAAGAACATTGAAGTCGGCCCGAGTTGATATCGTTGCAGTCAATCGGGAAGAAAGAGGAACAATTTTTTCGCAAATCAGAAAATTTCCAAGCGTTTATTCGAGCATCGCCGACTACATATGACCACCCGCGCTTGTGATCACTACACTAAGACTCCTTCGTATATAATGATTGTAATGTTAACCCCCCCCCCCGCAGATTTGTTGTCATTAATCGAAAGGATAGCTTATGGCACAAGAAATCGAATGAATTGATTCACAAGAGTCTTCAGAAAAAATCTTCACGTAGGCGACTGTCTAAAAAGTGGCAGCGTTCATACTCCTGTGGCAGCGCTAACTTGGCGACCATTTCGAGCGTCCATCAGCGTCAGGTATTGGGGCAGTAGTACAGATATCAATCTAGCGTCCACCAGCGTCCGCCAGTGACCATCAGCGTCTCGATGGACTGACAAAATATGGATGCCAATCGAGCGTCCACCAGCGTCTAGCGTTTACCAGCGACCAAGGTGGAGAGTACGGGAAAAGCAGCGAGTACACGGTGGCGCAGACTCTGGTGAGAGTAGGGAAGTAGGAGAAGGAGACAACTGGAATAGGCGGGCCGCGCGTGAAGATTTATGGGGGCAACCAAACCCTATTGCTACTCAATACCGTAATGGTCGGTGGTAGACGCTGGTAGACGCTAGACCATATCCATACTTCCTAGTCCCTCGAGACGCTGGTGGTCGCTGACGGACGCTGGTGGACGCTGATAGACGCTGGTAGACGCTGCCGTTCGCTAGATCGATATCTATACTTTCCTAGTCGCTGACGCTGACGGACGCTCGAAACGCTGATGGTCGCTGGTGGACGCTGCCGCAGAGTATGAACGCAGACTCAGAGGGTGTCAGGTCGTTATCTCCTGTGTAATCGGTAATGTCCCCTCGGTGTCTGTAGGTTTCATGAACTGTTCAGATGAATTGTCCGAGCAAGATTTGGCTGGTATCCAAGAACAAGCAGGACTGACGGCCGAGGAAGTGAGAGAGCTTCTGGAATCACTTTTAGCGAATATCCTCAGATTTTTTGTTCTTTACTGTGTCCATGGCCTCAGGTAAGCAAATGTTACGATAATAACTGCATTGTTCAATGGTTGTAATGGCTAGCAACATTTCCAGGGTTTTATGTCTTTTCTTCAGAGATCAGGTGGTGACAAAAATATCCAAATCCGGTGAGGTGACGTACCAGCTAAAATATCCTACTCAAGCGAAAGGTGCTGCCTCACTGAATCAGACGAGGTAAAAAATCTTTTTTTTCTGTTTCCTTTTCTCTTCGCCAAATAATTTGAAGCCTTATAAAGCGTGCCGAGCCAGCGCTCTATAGGCTGTTCTCGCCTGCAGAACCCAAGTTAAGTTTCGAACCTTTCCCGTCAAGTGAGAGTGATGCTCAGTGGCAACGCGGGAGCTATCATGACATCTACCAGTTCCTCGTTCTTCGACATAGTTCTCTTAGGAAAAAGCTGGTCCGAGTAAGCTCACAATCCAGAACAGTAAGGGGTACGATGCTTGTCTGCAAGTCGAGGTTAAACTGATTGAGTCCCTTTACCCGTTTTATGCAATCCTGAAGAGACATCGCTTTTTGGCTTATATTTAACAATTTGGTCTCTGCGGTTTTAGCTTTTTAATGGAATGAAAAAGGAAGAGAGACTTAGAAAAAAGCTAAATTTTATCGCCTTGGCAGCGCTTTAAGCACATGAAAATCAGAAGAAATAGAATCTTGAAAAACTAGGCAAATTTTCCTATCAGGTCGAAAAGTTCTTTACATACGATACAGAAAGAGGGCACCTCCTACGTTGCGGAATCCCCAGCGGGGGGAGGGGTCATATTCGCTCGCCTTCGTCCTTTGAGAGAGAGGGTCGTATCTGCACTTCAAAACTTTCAGTTTTTCCATGCGAGAAAATTTTTTCCCAATTGTTGAACTTGCTCCAAACTTTCCCTTTTCACTTGTGCTATATCCCCTCCCCGAAGGTGAAACTTCAGGAGAAAAGTAGCAAATATTTGGGGCAGGGCACATCATTGTTGGGGATTCTCCAACAGGGGGGTCGTATTTGGCCGCTGGGAGAGGGGGGGGGACGGTCGTAATGAATATGCAGATGCGGTAGCCAGTAACGAACAGCGCAAAGGTGTCAGTGTGCTGAGTCCGAGCGTAGCGTGTAGCGAAACTTGCTTTGTAGAGAATCCGGATAAACTAATACTGGAAATATTAATAAGTCGACATCATCTCGTAAGTAGGTATATGGCTAAACAGTACAACTCATACCCTGGTTCGCTGCGGATGATGGGGCGTGTCCGCGATCGCGCTTGGCGCTGAGCCAACCTGTCTTTTTTCTTACGACAAACGACAGGACTACCATATCGTTCGTACGTTCGTATCAGACGTTTTCCAGCTGTTGGTCTCCTTTATCAGAGTCAGCAATTGGCGGAGCACAGATCTGGCGGCGTCGGACACGGACACGCCCCATCATCCGCAACGGACAACACTGTAAACAAGTGCGTAGGTTGGCCATGGAACTCCCTGAATCCTGTAAACACATCTGCTCGTGTAGACAGGCACTGCGTGGAACTGCACCATCCCATTACCTCTGCGTGGGAGCCTAGGCATGGCGCATCCACAAATGAAGCTAATGGGCGCTAAAACACCTACTGCTTGCTCCTATTCCACGAAAGGATGCATTCCAGCATTTCTGGATATCCGAGTACGCTCGCTTGAAACGGTACACAGAAACGGATTTTTCGAGCAGCTTGGAGTGCTCCCTAATAAATCCCCAACGCAACCATCTCATGAATCCTGGAAACTTCACAACCAGCTTAAGTGGTTTCTCGAAAGAGGAAATCTTCTAGTATTCGACACTGGTTTCATTTGCGAACTATTGGATTTAAAAATATCTTCGTTCAAACCAGGACAGTTTGCATGCATCCTCAATAGATCCCCAACCTGAATTTCTCTCTGAATTTGGCGACTTTCATAAACATTTCAGTACTTTTCGGGAAGCTTGAGCGTTTTTCTACACGACTGCGTTTTCCTCTTTCCCACAGGTCCGCCTTTGAGGAAGTTATGGCCCTTCAAAGACAAGTTGTTTTCCTGGAAAAACGCGCCCCATTCCAACCACCTTGCGGCGTTGGTCCTGCCCAGAATCCCTTCCAATCGATTCCTCGGCCGTTTTCCAGCTGATTGCGGCTGTTCCTGTGTCCTTTTTTTGTTTTTTTTTTCTCTAATGAAGAGATCTCCACTGGTGGGCCAAGCGATTAATCCGTATCAAGACGTTGTTCGCCATTTCGGAATTTCTGTATTTCTCCCAATTCCGCTTCTTTCTTGAATCGATACATATACGTCACGTTTTACATGTCCGCAGTTTCGTCTTTTTCCAAGTTGTCAAGCATGAATGCGACCTTAGGCTTTGTAGGGTGGGGGGGAGGATCAGCACATTCGCTATTTCACATCCTCGTATTCATTGCTTCACAAAAGTTGACAGGTATTCCTCCAAACTTTGAGTGGTATCACTTTATGCCTTTACAATGAGTGGTATCACTTTATGCTTTACAACTTAGGCCGTCATATTATGCTAGCTCGAGCTCAAAAAACAAACTGTGGAAAAAAGGACTTTTTCAGTGTTTGTTTTTTAGGGGGGTTGATCGTTACCGAACCCCCCCCAAAAAAGGGGTGTCGTAGCGACCTTCCAAAAAGGGGGCGGGGGGTCGTACGGGCTCGACCAAAATCCCAACTAATGCTGTGCCCTGATTTGGGGAATTTCGGTAAAAGTGGTGGGAAGCTCGGAAAAGTTGGCAGTATAGGCAAGACAGTGCGATAGGTGGGGTGAGGGAGGGGCTAGGGGATCGTGAGGACGGAGTTGGGGGCGGGATCGTTATTTCTGAAAATTTTTCCTAGCGGGAGGACGTGCCCTGTACAGAAGTCAGTGGTAAAACTTCCACACCTTCAACACGAATTGCAATTTAAGATCAAAAGCCGTCACTTATTGGCCAAACGGATTTATGACCGTCTCATCGAAGCGACGGTCCTCTCATTTTGCCCGCTGTGGGAGCTTACCGATGTTGTTATACGCGTGATGTCCTTCGGAAAGCTCAACAAATAATAATAATTCACACAAAATATGAACAAAATAAATCAGAAAAAAATAAGTACTCAAGCGTTCGATCAGTGCTGACTTCAGCTACAGCAATCGGGGCAGTTGCTGAACCTAAACAAGAAAAAGCTAACCGTACTGGTTGAACAACATGGGAGAACAATATCCAAACCACTTACCACTCTTCTATGCCCTCGTTAGTGACTGACTGGTACCAAAAATTTTTTTGAGAATAGGAGGCTTGCCTGAATATAGTCAACGTGGTGGAGTTGACCAATATGCAGATGGAGTGTCCTTGCTTGTGACTGACGACTTCTTCACTTATACTTTCGGGCTTTCCTTTATCTAGGAAGATGTTTACTTATGATTTTTAGGCATGATTTTAGGCTTTAAGTGAACTTGTACCGTTGGATGACGATCATATTCCGCTATTGAAGGACTTGGGAACAAATCTTCCTGACGACTGCTCTTCACTTCGTTACCAAGTGAGACTTCTTGCGCGTTCGCTTTCACTCGCTGATGTGCGTACTTCATAGCATTTTTCAGGTTGCACACTTACCTGCTTCCTCAGATCGTGAGGCTCATACTTGGAGAAGATCTTTACAATGCGAATTTTACCACGTTTCCTGCTCTTCTTATACATTTGGAGGAGTATGCCACCCAGCTGAAGAGATTACAATCCAGCAATCAGTACTGGTACTCTTTAGAACTGTTAAAAAAGCAACGCAGTAAACCCTGACATATTGGCCAAACCACTCAAACATAAAACACTCAAGGAAAATGAACTAACAAGGGGAATGGTTTCAGCTTCCCATGGAACTTTAATGGAATCCCTAGGTACGTAGGTCGATGGAGTCTCCAGTTAAGGTTGGAAAGAACGTCCGGCGACTTCGACACTTTGACCAAAATTTCAGGCCAAATTTTCTTTCACTGGGTGAAGTGAGGTCTCCAATCAACAAGCGTAATCGCTCATGTACATAAGTAGGACTAGCCCAGCACTTCACACATGGTCCTCGGTTCCACTTGCTGTGGGAAGCGCAGCGTGAACTAGATGAATAGATATAAACGTGGACCCTCCACGAGTGGACGTTGATTTTCGGCAATTTTGGGCTTCTAAGGATGCAGTCAGAGACTAGATCAGAGGAGGAACGCAGTAGAGGGCTGCAAGTCGGTGAAGAGGAGAGTTGCAAAATCGGGGTGAATAAACCTGGTGCGGTCGCCTTCCCCGTGGTCGAGACTCCAATAATATTTTGGGCGTAGCCTCATCCAAGTGCGGTCTCCGCCTGCCTGCCGAAAGAAAGAGAATTAAGCGTTTCTGAAAGCGGCGAATCGGGCGTCACCATCAATCCATGTTTTGAGGTTTGATTAGGGTTGACTTGGCCGTCATTGCTGTGCATTATTCAGTGACATGGCTTTGAACTGCCATCAGTAACACAGTGAAGTCTTTCTCCCATGCACATCTTGCTTTAGGCGAAGCAGGGACTTTTCTCCTTGAGAGATCTTAAACTGTTTGTGGTACATGGTGAACGCCACACAAATCTCAAGCTTCTTCTTCGTCGAAACATCAGTTACGAAGCCACAATGGTCTTCCTCAGAAAAATCTTCTAAGCGTTGTTCAATAGAAGAGGAGTCTGACCCATTTGGTGCGCTTTGACAGAACGCTGCAACTCATTTGGTATCTTTCCCAGAGAATTTTCCCAGCAACCTAGTCTGCGGACAAGCATGGCAGTCGTGAGTAGGTGCAACGTACATATGTGCTTACTCAGTGGTGCTTACGTTCGACTGTGCTGCCGTTCAACTGCGCCGACCTATACGTTGCTTACTTCGAATAAAATAACCCGGCTTGCAAGCGCTGAAACAAATGGTACACCGTGCTATGGCAAGTGACATCCTTCCTGAGCATAACGCAGTTGTTGACTCTCTCGACGGCAACAGAGGCCCTACCAGAAAAGTCATACGATAAGTAATCAGAAAGAGCCTTGATACTGTTGAGGGACGTTTAAGCCTTATAAAGCTTCGAAAAAGCCGCAATGTATTCGGGTGCAAAATCTCGGTGAGCACTCCCCACTAACCAGGGGTGAAAACTCTGAAATATTTTTTTGATTGCGAAATATGGAGATTCTAAATTGCGTACGTGGGGTCTCCAAAACGGAACTTCCGT